GAAATAAAGTTATAGAGTAATTTGCTTGATTCTTCTGCGGGAGTCTCAGCCTTTTCAGTGCCTCCTCTTTTTCCTAGCTACCTAGTTGCTGCACGTGTGTACGCCCAGCCAACTTCAAAATTAGCACGTAAACTTTACGAGCGTACGATGCTCCCAAGTGGAAAAGACGAAAAACAAAGGACTCCGCTGCAAGATTAGGTCGGCGACTGCTCTTTATTTGTTCATGGGAAACTTTCGAATTGTCTCAACTGCACTGGCGGTCAAGTCTATAGCTATGCTTTCAGTATAAAAACTTAATGGCTTTTATTCGTCAGCCGCCGCTCAGGATTATATTTTTAGCTCCGCACTAAGAGTATTTTTATCGTTTTCATTTAAAACCACTGTTTGATACCGAACTTTATTAAGGAATATGTTTAACAATTACGTTATTGAAGCATTTGTACATAGACTAGAGACTGAATAAAATTAAAACGAGTATAAGTGGAAAACAGAACACTGTACAATTTCGAGTATATTAGTTAACACTTTTGGAAAAATAAAATAAATTCAGAGCAAACCGCTCCGTTCGGATAAAATATTAACTATAAACGGTTAGAAAAAATAAAGTAGAAAGTTATAATAGCATTCGGTCGAAAAGTTCATTTGATCACGCGCGCAACTACTCCAACTTAAAGTTATAGAGTCTTGAATCAAAACTACGGGCTTTAAAGTATCTAACTGAATCGGAAGAATTTTACTTTGATGACTTTAAAATTGTGCAATTTAGAAAAGACGATAAAATTACATTTTCTTTGCGAAAAGAGTAATTGGATGGAATGGAAAAAATAACGAATTTAAAAGCTCCCGCAGTCAAATGTGGATGAGTCGTTTGGCATGGGTTTTGAAATAGCAAGCACTGCTAGTTTCACAGGGAAAACGAATCGGAGCATCGGATTTAGAAACAGTCGCAGCGCAGTTGCTGCTCTTTAATCAATTATTTAAAGCACTTGCCCATCGCCAGAAGAAAGAGCTTGGACGGAGGGAGAGGAGACGAGAAAAGCAGAGAGTGGACAAGAGTGGCTGTCAGTATACGTGGGTAGACACGAGTACATACGCAGATATACCGTCACATCCGCTCTTCCCTCATAGTCGCCGCAGTCCGGAAGCCTCGTAACTTCTAAACTCCGGTTCACCTTTCACATAACCAGGATACTGCTATTTATTAAAACTTCCGAATTAACTCCTCAACCTAGCGAATCTCGAGCATTCCAGCGAGTATTCCAATTCACAAACCACCGCACTACCACTCATTTTCCTCGTTCATCTAATGCTCTTGAATGACCTTGCTGCAAAAAAGCTGGTTATTTCAAGTGCTTCCATGGTAGCTAGTCATAATGACATTTATGAAAAAAGAATCTGTAAATTAGTGGAAGGAAGCGCGAGTTATCCAACTTTTTTAATGAACTTAATTTTAAGCTCACAGGCGCTATGAAAGACCATCCTAAGAGTTCTTTCCATTACATTTGTTTTTTCATCTGATAGTTTTATTAAAATTACCATTGAAACTATTTTATATAACGAACAATTGTCGCCTCAACGTACAACTGCTATCACGTAATATGACATTTTCTCCGAGAACATACATTAGATCAATTCGATTTGTACAGTGTTTAGTGAAATTTTGAATAGTTTTTGCTTTTCAGATTTATATCACTGTACGGATAAGAAGGTGAACTTTTTTCAGAAGAGAAACATACGATTTCTTATATTGCTTTTATTAAACTACTATACATAAACTGCAGGGAGCGGGAGTACAATTTGCATTTACGTATACTTGCTTCTTTGACTAATCTTTAGTGATATGGAAAAGCTGAGCTTGAAATAGGAAGTTGGAAGAGAAAGTATTCAACTATCGGAAGCAAGAGAATCTAACAATATGGGCTGCAACCAGTTAAGAGAAAGAAAATCCTCGACAAGATTAAGGAGGAGTTACAACGTTTTTACATTGCCCTTCCACTCTAGCTGCTGAAATCTCCAGTTAGACTAGAATTATGAAAGAATACCACGATTACAATTTTCACAAGACAATAATCTTTGGGATTTCACTATCAAGTTTTCCAAAGACAGGTCTTCGTTCATGCGCTTACAAGGTAGCTTTTAGCTTACAAGACCTCAGACAATGATCTCACAGACAAAATGATTGTCATGCTTCAATTTGTGTCAATATGATATGGCGAACAATTTGACCGATAGACCGTATTGTCAAAAAAAAGCAAGCGACAACTGAATTATAACGGAGGTGTATGGGTGTCTCAACGAAGGTAGTAAAGTCATTTAGCAAAAAGAAAAAAAAGTGAAAAGGTGGCAGAAAGAAGGAGGTCTGGAGTATGCGAAGAGGTGAAGTGTCTGACACAGTAGAGAGGAACATCTCTCGCGGCAGACGTGAATGCTCCTTGAAGCGTGCGGCGCGCTGAGCGCAAGCTTGAGATGGCGGGCGAAGAAGCAAGGAAAAGGACTAGGACAGGCGCGCGGAGGTGGAGAGGTGGAAAAGAGAAAGAGCTGAAGAAAAGCAGGCGATTAAGCGGATCGCTTTCACAGACATCTCTTCGGCTTAGCTTCTTGGACTGCCGAGATAAAAAAGCGAATTAAGAGCCGAGAGAGAAAGAATATCCATTTAATAGCTCTATTCCGGAAATGCTCTTGGAGAAGAAGAGGAAGGACCGAGGGACCTCGTTACTTTGAATTATATCTATGATATTTTCACGTCTCCTGCGTCCTAGTCAAGTCGATGTATAATTTACTGCTGCTCGCTTATCGCCCAGACAGATCGCAGATTAATAGGACCGATCAGTGGCTGCGCGAGCAGCACTCGCTAATCGAACTCCAACTATGACTCCCCACATCTCAGAATGACTAACTAACTTGCGGACTTGCTTTTTCTCTGCCGGCTTTTTCCTTCTGCGAGACCGCTTGTGCCTTCGGAACGGCATTAACTTTCATCCACCGCACGTCGATTACATAACCTCGGGTTGAATCTACGGGACCCTTCGCGATTAACATCACAAGCCTAAGTCACGCTGTTCTACATCTCCACGCTGATGACTTTTGCAAATGGCTCCTTTTTTGCGCGCATTTCATCTTTCATAATTCGTGTTATTACGAAAAGTAGTATGAAAATGCTTCTACTACATCCCTTTAATTAGTGAACTTTTCATTGTTAGCTAAGAAAAAAAAAAGAATCAGCGGACTAAATAAAGAGGTGCTTTGGATGAGCTATGCGAGTTAAGCAAGTAGTTAGCCGTAAATATAAAGCAGTAAAGCGAGTTTTCGACGAAAAATAGGACAAGAGTCGAGAATGCAGATCGATAGAAAGAAAAACAAGATAAAAGAATGAACATGCAGGAACTAGTGTACGTGTAGCCGGAGAAGGAGGAGGAGACCCACTACGAGAGGTCTTTCATCTTCGACATCAAAAGGCAATTGCCGAAATTATGGAAATATACCGAAGAATTTCGAGTAGAGCCTATGCAATGCTTTCTCTCTTTGTCTTGGCGAGAAAGAGATGGGGTGAGACTCATACATATAGCCCTTTTGCACGGGGCTGGCGTTGATCGCAAGGAGGAGGAAAACGGCTGGAACAAATGACAAGGTTAGCACAGGTGGAGTTGGACTCTATGTGGAAAATTCACCTATGTACATTTCTCTATCCATGCGAATCTCCTTTCCCCCTCCCCTTCCTATATCTTTCTGCATGCATCATCGACTTGCTCTCTATATCTATCCTATCTTCTTTTCCTATTCCTATTTTACGATCGAAACTCTCCACTTTGCTAGCATCCATCACGTAATATGTCGCTCTCTCTTTCTCTCTCACGGCTATTTTAAATCGAAAAGGATCTACAATAAAAACAAATCAACGCCGTCGTGACGCTAGCAATAATCGAATTACTTACCTTATTGAATATTATATCAGAAATTTTTTTTTATCAGGTAGGATTAAAGGACTGATGAAGGTGTTTATATAAATACAACTGTAGCCAAACTCTAAACCGAATTTCCTTTGGTTAATGCCCACTGGCAATTTCATGGCTTCTCTTTGCCACGATTTTCAAATAGGGACGGGCTCACATTGGAAAACTATAGAAGTAACTAAACTAATATGCTCCTGTATGTAATTGATACGATCTCCGGCGAAAAAATGAAGAAGAAAGAAGGCAGGCACGAAACCATAAAAGCGATGAGCTTTAGATTCATGGAAATCTCTCCCTTTCCCAAAATATTGTTAGTATACTTTAGGCTTTTATTCGACTGAAACATCAACGATCGCTTTCAGTCTAGCTAAACTACTACTGTTCGACGACAGCTGTCCTAGCAGCGCTCGTGCTACAAAACAACTTTACTCTCCAAATAATCCTGACCGTTGGAATTGCCAAGTAAGTTTCTTCTTTACTTTACAGTCAAACAAATTGCTCTCTGCGTGATTATTTTCCGTTACGTTCAATTGCAATGCGATGAGAAGCGAGGTGCATGTCGATAGAATGAAATATGCGTGAGTATGTTATTCGACTTTCTAATTGGCACGTAGAATACCAGAGAATCACGCGGACACTGATAATGCTAGTAAGAAGTCTAATTAAAGCGAGGAAAGTGGTCAAAGTTAAGGGGTCACTGCCGCGTGCTAATGAGAGAAGGGAGCGAGGGTTGAGGCTCGGGTGGCTAGAAAATCTGATATAAAACTAACACATTTACAGTTAGAGTCGCGTTAAGGTTGCATGCGTTTGGTGCATATGGCTACTTTGCAAATGGATCGCGTGACGGGCTTGTATCAGCACGAATGCGAAGCGAAGGGTTTCCTTTCGGATACGCCGCGATCCCTCGCAATCGAATTAAAGCTTCTCATGCATCACGCGAGCGCTGATCTTGGAAGCGAGTAGCAGCAGTACCCTTCCTTCTTTCTCTCCCTCGTGGCCTTTCAAAGGCTCTGCGCGCTCTCTCTCTCTCTCTCTCTCTCTCTCTCTCATATAAAAGCCAACACTCTGGTCGCAGTCAGCTTCGAGTGAGCTGCGGAACGCACCGTCAACCTTCGCCACGTCTCACTTCAAAAGCTCCGCTCGCGACGCCGATGACTATCAATGGTACAAGTAACGGTGACAACCTCCGCTGAATATCATTACTTTTGTTTATTTGACTTCACTTTTGTCGACTATGTAACCCGACGATTTCATTGAACAGATCCGCTTTTAAATTGCAGCCGACCGAGACTTATATTGCCACTAGCGCGTCTCACTTTGCTGCCGTGTAGGACGACTAAGTCTGTGATAAACCTAGCAAGAGGTAAGGAAGCTTGAGACGAAGTAAAAGCAACTAAGAACAATCAGCAAATAGCAGTGGCAGCAGCAGCAGTCGAGATGTACTACAACGAGAGTCGGATGTCGAACACAATGCCATTTGTCATGGGCGGCATGGGTTCCGTAGGACCAAACGTTGGGTAAGAAAGCAGCAGCGGACTTTATTATTTTGTTTTCCCTCTCCCTCCCCCTCGCTCTCTCTCTCTCTCTCTCTCTTTCTCTTTCTCTCTCTCTCTCATTGATCGGATTTTCAAAAGTGAATCGAACAAAGTACGAGCCAAGTGATAGATAAGACGCGAAGACAGTGCGAACTGATAAGAAAATTCACTCAGTTTCGCGAAGCCCCAGCAAGTGCTCCTTCACGAATTTTGCAGAGCCTCTTTACCGAGGATCTCGCTCTTTCCTCTTTTCTTCATTCTTTGGATAATTCAAGCCGCTTGATGACGTTGCATTGTGTCCGGCTAAAAGTCTATTACGACTTCTTTCTCCGTTCCAACGGATAATCTTCAGCGAGTCGACTTTAATTTTTTTCCCGCTTCCTTTTTGGTCCGATTCAATGCTCTCAACGAGCAAAAAATTTTTTAATCGCATGCTTTCGCACTTTCCGTACCTGAGTTGAAAAAACGCAAGTGCCTTTTTAAATGATAAGCCACGTGCTGCTGACAGCGAGACCTTCGGCTACAATAAAAAAATTATATCCAGTGGATATTTCTCCATTACTCAAAAGACTCACTTTCACACTAATAGTATCCAATTTAAATGTACACGATAGTAAATTATTTTTTAATTGGAAACTAAAGCACTAAGTTTTTCGGAAATATGTCTCGGTCATGTGCGTTTTTTTCTTTAATTTCGTACCGCTTTAATTTTCTACTGAAAAATTACATACAATATATTCAAGAGTATACGAGCCTTTTCAGTTACTAGAAAATATCTGTAGATCATTTGTCTGCTTAAATTGAAAGTTGAAGCATATTAGAGCTGCGTGGTCCATACTTTTTTTCAAAATAAATAAGCACTTGCCTGATTGGTTAACAAGACACGTGCGCTTTTTCAACCGGGGTTGCTCGTACTATAATTTCAGCCAAGTTTCACCGTTGCAAGAACACCTGTTGGGATGGAATGTGCCACCAGAACATATGGATATCGTGCATCCACACTGGCGTGGCTTTCTGGCACCCGGCAAATACTGGCACATTGGACTTGCGCTCATCTATTTCATGCTGCTTGTGTTTTCGTTCGTTGGAAATGGCTGTGTTATTTGGATATTTAGCACGTAAGCATTGAAAATATCAACGACAGTTCAAATTTTCAATTTTGTAATTCTTCCAAAGTCGCGCGATCGAATTCAATAAAGTAGAAATGATATAATTTTTCTTAAACCGCCTTAAAAACTAAATGTTTCAAAAGATGTAATTAGATTGAAAATGTTTAAGGTGCTCTAATTTAGTGGAATTAGGATTATTATCACAAAATATTTTGCTATAAGGATGAGTTTTTTTAGCGAAAGTAAATATGCGCGTAGTGCTCTGATAGCTCGAGAATTTGAGAATTGCACGATTTATTCCAGATCCAAAGTTTTGCGAACTCCATCAAATCTTTTTATAATAAATTTGGCCCTGTTCGATCTGGTAATGGCACTTGAGATTCCAATGCTAATAGTGAATAGCTTTGCCGAGCGAATGGTCGGTTGGGAATTGGGCTGTGACATTTACGCTGCACTCGGTAGCGTATCTGGCATTGGCTCGGCGATAACCAACGCAGCTATCGCTTACGATCGATATAGGTATGAAATATATTACATACGAGCAACAACAATATTTCATCAATTACTCGCGTGAATGAGCTTTCTTCGTATTGATTTTTAGAACCATTTCTTGCCCAATCGATGGCCGATTAAACGGCAAACAAGCGGCTATTATTGTTATATTCACCTGGTTCTGGACAATGCCATTTACTATTTTGCCTTTCGCTAAAATATGGGGTCGATATACCACAGGTAAATTTGCTTTGTATTTGACTTATTTTACGGACAAAGCGCCAAAAGTACATATTACCAAGCGAATGCAGAAAGTATAGAAGTGCCGATAATTACGTGACGTTTATTGACTCGTTGCTCAAACAAAGCGAAAAGTCAGAACATAATTTAAAAACTCATTACTGTACTACAGAGGGCTTTTTAACAACCTGCAGCTTTGACTTCTTGAGCGACGATCAAGATACAAAAGTTTTCGTTGCATCAATTTTCTCTTGGTCTTACTGCTTCCCAATGGTACTGATCATCTGCTTCTACTCGCAATTAATAAAGTCCGTCAGACGACACGAAAAGATGCTCCGCGAGCAAGTAAGTTTCCTCGATGAAAACTTTCCAGCCAATATAATACTATTATTGACTGCCGATGAATAGAACTGACGATCGTTCATTTTCATGTCAGGCCAAGAAGATGAACGTTAAATCATTGGTATCCAATCAGGACAAGGAGAGGAGTATCGAGATGAGGATAGCCAAGTCGCTTTTACGATTTTCTTTTTATTCGTGTGCTCTTGGACTCCGTATGCAGTTGTGACTTTGATTGCGACATTTGGCAACCGGTACGCGATAGTTCTCAGACCACACGCGATTAATTTTGAAAAGGATCGACGGCAAATTTATTAAAGCAAAACTCGAAATTGTTCGCAGGGAACTTATCACGCCGTTCTCAAGTATGCTGCCAGCAGTGTTTGCCAAAACGGTCTCCTGCATCGATCCCTGGGTTTATGCCATTAATCATCCGAGGTAAGACAAGCGAGGAACTTTGCAGCTTTGGCGCGTATAACGATGTGGCTTTGGGCATTGATCGGCATTATTGGAAACCAAGGTACAGGCAAGAGTTGACCAAACGCTGCAAGTGGTATGGGTATTCACGAGCCCGAAGTGACTGCAGGTACTGGAAGTGAAACGGTGTCTGTAACCACTGAGAAGCTTAAAGGCGACGACAATTAAGCGACGAGTAAGACCTTCCCCGCCCTCTCTGGGTAGAAAGCTTGGTTCGGATCAAGGCCTGACAATGGGGGAGTTGACGATTATTCAGCGGGTCGGCAAAGTCGAAAGCTGCGGCTATCGAACCACCACTCGATAATCGCAATTACAAGCTTTCGCTCGATCTTGCTTGCCAAATGATTATAAATATTTTTCTCACATACACACACACGTACACACACACATACACACTTCGAAATCGTGCCAGTTAAAAGTACAATCGACTTGAGTTTACGATCAGACCGAAGCCTAGACGAACTCAAATTTAAGTTACCGGCAGACGCGATAAGTACCCGAGTTTTCTTCTGGCCTAGCAATTAGCCCGTCGAGCGCTTGAATAAAAATTAGAAAAAAAAAACACATTTGTATATTATCTAGCGTACCAGAGAATATTAAGGCGTAGAGGGCGCAGCGTTTCCCAGTGTCTGCTACAGGCAAGACGGTATAGACTAAGCTATGAATATTGAAATCGTTGTGTTACTTTAGCAACTCGATTAACCATTAAAGCAAACAATTGTTCCGACTGTCGCTGTTGTTGATTAATTAATTATTCATGCAAATTGAACAGATGCTTTTGTCGACGGCTTTCAATTTTTTATGTTATAAATTACAAGTTGACGTATGCACGTGCGTTTAAAGTTAACCAAATGTACAGCAAAAGAACACATTTTCGTATGTTTCCAGGAGATCGTTACCTTATATTTGTATTCATTATAAACGTTGTATACACAGTTAAATGAACAAAACGATATTAAAGTCAATCCTTCAACTTTATGGGTTATTCCATATATATCACGTGTAACTGTATCAAGTTGAAAATGAATAAGGTAGGACACAATGATTATGGAATTTTTATTTAGCTTTCGAACTTATACAAGTTTGTTTCACTTTACAAATAGAAATTCAAAAACATTAAATTACAATAGTTGTTGATTAATTTGTTGCAGTGTTCGCGTAAGCTCGTTTTCAGAATAGTCATGTTTCTTCTTATCTTTTAGCGCTGCAATTTTAGAGGGACTGCGATAATTTGTTTATAAGCTTGTACATTCGGTTTGACGATGATACTTTCGATACATAATGAAGATCAAAAATTGAGTTTACGTAAGTTTCTATAATAATTTAATACTTTGATTATCATACAATGTACATTAACCATTATAATATTTTCTGCTTTTTGGCTTCGGTTACATTAGAGGACTGTTTATAATTTTAATTCTAACAAGAAATCCAGCAATATGGTAATGGTCAGTTCTGGTTGCACAGTTGACAGAAACTATAAAGTCTCTTGGTAATTTTTTGCCTACGAACTATGATTGGTTTTTTTCGTCAAAGGATAGTTCGGAGTAAAATTTACCTTTGTTATTGTCGAGACTTGATAATTTTATCAATATTTTTAATGGCAGATGCATTTATTTCTTTGAACGTATCGGAGTACGGAATTTTAGGTATTTGGAGAAGGTTAGGTTCGTTACTTTCTGGAGCGATATCAATAGCTAAATTAGGGCTATCGCTTCAACTGTAAAGATAGAGAGTTTATCAGCGATACTCCTTGCTTGTCTCAATTCCTAGCTCGGGGGATAAGCAGTTTGTTCCTGCAAGTTTCAGATTCGCTGACATCCATGTAAATAACCGCTCGCTTGGCAATTAATAAAAAAACCATAATTTTCATTAATTTTTTTCGATGTTTCTAGGTACTGGAATAAATTAACAACGTAGTTTAGAATACAGAAAAGTTTTATTATTTCCCCCGTTGGAAATCGTTTAAAAGAAATTCATGAAGATTCGATAATTTCATAATTATTAAGCACTCAAAATCATCATCAACAGCTGACAAGGGGAAGCAGTAATACTACATATTTTACTAATATGATTAATTGTTAGTCCTTTAAATGCATTAATGCGTAAATGATGAGGCTCAATAACGATTTTAACAGCAGTTTAAAATAAATATTAAAGCCGATATATCAATTTTTAATGAAAATAATAGAATTAATTTATCTAGGGCTTTTCAATTAATAAAATGTTAATGAGTATGGCAATTGACTGCTTTAGTATTGATATTATCTACTTTAAGAACAGAAATAAATACCTTAACTGAAAGTCTTAGAAAACTTTATAGCTAAATCTTTTTTCGATTTAGAAAGTGAATTATAAAACTATTTCAGTAGCATATATTTTCACTTTAGATTCAACAATGCATACACGTACTCAAATCGGGATGAATTATATGTGGTTGTAAAGTACACAAGATAGATGAATATGATAGTCCATGATTTTAATGACGTCTACGCAAGTTGTTCTAATTCAACAAATAAATTGAAATAGTCAGAAAAACTGGCATAAAACTATGGACATGACGTTTAATGAAAGAAAATTATGAGAACGTGAACAGAATTTTCAAATGAACACATTTTTTGACGAGTACATCGTGATTTCGCTATCTCGTTCCTACGATTTTCGCAGCAAAATGTGGTCGCGAGCATAGCGGAAAAATGAAAAAGCCGCGACGGGCTTTTATAAAAATGGAATGAAAATACTTGTCGAGTGAAGACTGAAAAAGTTCGTCAGACATAGGTGGGGCAAAAATAAGCAAAAAAAAGCAAAAATGGATAAGCGTTGTCCAAACGTCGAGAGACACTGGATCAATAGATAAGATTTGATTGGTATAGCACAGCACGGCAGGTTTTTCCTTCTTCGGCATATTCGAAGGGCGGGGGGTGGGAAGAGAGCCTTGGGCGTTCGAAGCAAAGAAACATCCGGTGCCATTTCCTGAGTTGCGCATTCGCGCGACGCACAGAGAGAGAGAGAGAGAGAGCGAGAGAGCGAGAGAGCGAGAGAGCGAGAGAGCGAGAGAGAGAGAGAGAGCGAGAGAGCGAGAGAGCGAGAGAGCGGGAGAGCGAGAGAGCGACAGAGAGAGGGCGGCCCGGTTGTAGGGCGAGAGCTGAAAATTCAATTACGCGGGATTTATGGCAACGGCTCGGGCATATTTATTGCAAAGGAAATACACGCTCGGCTAGTGCGCGCAACCGAGCAAGCGAGAGGCTTATTCCAGCCCACGTCCCTTTTATTATACGCGCGCGCGCCTTGGCTAGCTGCTGTTTGCACTTGCTGCTCGCTCGCGATCAGCTCTCGCAATTACTTATCGAGGACCAATAGCTTCGGAGCAAACTTCGTCGCGAGCGAGGCCAAAATAAACAAGCTCGCACATCAGATTGCGGTGCCAACGGGATACTGGCGACATGCAGCGGCAGTAGCTAGGGCAGAAGCTTTGCCATCAGATATAAACTTTTCCCAAACGCGCCAGGAGTAGTGGCAAAGAGCAAAGTTTTTGAATTTCGATCGAGCGCAGGAGAAAGAGAGAGAGAGAGAGAGAGAGAGAGAGCTATATCGTGACATCGTGCTTCGCTCTCGCGCGACGAAGAAGGAGAAAAAAAGTAGCCGCCCGCTCGCGCCTCGGGGACATAGTTTGCACGCGCGCGCAGCAAATATTTCGGCGCCGCTTCTCCCCGCGCGTACTTTTCTTCTTTTCCCGTACGAGGGCGAGAGGATATGCAGGTGCATTTTACACGCACGTGCAACTGTTCCCCAGAGCTCGAATGGCCCGCCTAACTCATTTTACTATAGCGCGCACGCCGGGGGCGCTCCCAGCCTCTCGTCTCGCGGAGCTAAGGAAAGGATTGCGCGCATGTTTTCGATATGTATCAATGGATCGTATTTTCTCGCAACTCCTTCCACCCGAACGCAAATCTCATCCCCCCTCCCCCCCATCTGTGCCGAGCTACGAAATCCCGCAAAAATTGAGAACGACCTCGTTGTAGCACGACGACGCATGACAGATTTATCAGTTTGAGCTTCTTTTCCAGCGCGTTCTGCTTGCTCTGCCTTTTTCTTGACTTCATTCGCAATGCGCCTCGGTAATGCCTCTTACTGTATTTGCAGCCTCCCCTTTGTATCTACTTACCTGCATTTTGTTGTGACCTGATTATTTCATGCGTTCGTAAAGACATGGACTCACGCTATCGAATTTGCCGGCATCGACAGTATTACCTGTAGTAGCTACCATTATGATTTGGAATGTTTATCAAATAATTCAAAGCTGTTGTTAATGTTCTGTTGCCATAGTTATGAAACTGTAGATGAAATAAACAAACAAGATATGTTAAAGGAAAAACGGAGAAAAGGTTGAATTTTATTGTCGTGAATATTCAAAGAGCGAGTTAGCCAAGAAAACCGGTAAATCTTGAACGCTCAACTGTCAGGATGCAACGTTTTAAGTAGATAAAAGACTCCGCTTAAGAGTTTGGTCTCAAGTTGCAGCGCCTTGACTGACTTCCTCTTTCGACTTTTATTTTCCGAAAGATTCAAAGTTGAAGCTTTCGCAGAAATTAAAATTAACTCTTGGGCCGTCGAAAATTTTCCAAGCGGCTGTTTGACTCGCAATCGAAATGTTGGCTGTGAAAGATTTCACGAGCGAGAGGAAAAACTTGACGTTGAATGCATTAGTTTTAAACGTAGAAAAGTAGCGGAAGCAGTCAATAGCGAAGACAGGTACGCAGGAGCAAACGTCAAAAATAGCGTACGCCAAGAAAAACTCGAATGCGTCGTCATGGTGACGCGTGCCACGCGCCCACTTGACTGCTCAGTGCTCTCTAACTCGAATTCTGCTGCTGCTGCTGCTGCTGCTGCTGGTGTTGCCGCTATCGCCGCCACTAAAGCCACGCTTGCTCGTCCGCCTAGGCGAGGCGACACGAAGCGACACGGCACACGGCCAACCACTTGGCATTTAACCGTCTGGAAGTAACTGCCAGATATTGACATTTTTTCGCTCGGCATGCTACGCAATTTTCTCTTCGTCAAATCCGTCAACTCAGCTTCAAAATCAGCCGCGTTAAAATTACACATCGCAAATGAGATGTCGAGGCGTGGCGTCGACAAAAGGCGCCGGCGTGCTGCGGTAGTTCACGTACCCCTTAGCCGCGCGCTTATCTTTAAGTGCCAACGAGTTTCAATCGCGGTGTGGATCCCCCTTCTGAAAGCCTCCGTCGTCATACATAATGTGACTGTTGTCTATATTAAACGTGCTCGGAAGCTTTCAGCGCGCGGTAAAGAGAAACTCGAGAGCCCACTGTTTTCGCGAAGTATCTTGCAGATTATAATTTTCGATCGACATGTACTCACTCACTCTAGGCTAAAGAGTACTTTGTTAGTTTCGTTCCTTCGACGTCGGATATTTTCTTACTCGATGCATCGCATTAAATCTTCACGACCTTTCGAACAACAACAGCCCCAGCCGCTTTGCGCGGAACACAGTTTTTACTTTAAACATGCTTGCTGCTTTTTTCATCGTCAACGAGAAGCCGTACTGCTATTGGTGGAAGCTTGTTCAGCATTATTTCGAGGGCTTCAAAGAAACAGCGCGATATAAAACAAAATAAAAGTATGTGTATGTATATATCCATGTCCGTGTGTGTGTGTGTATATATATATATATTCGCGCATTGTCAAGAAAATATTTCTTTGAGACGGAGAAAACTTGGAATACACGGAGGTAAATAAAACGTCGAGAGAGAAGGAACGGGAAATGGAAAAACGTGAGCTTTGACGGAAGAAACGTGTCTCCCGGCGAATAAGAGCAGTTGGTCTAGTGGATTAGCGTGACCAAGGATTAGCTCTTGTGTCTATACAGATGGCACGGTGGACATGCATTAGCCGGCTAGTAAACTTGGTCGCAGTTGGCAGTGTTGCGATTTTCGTAGTCGAGACTCAAGAATTTCGGAGATGTCGCTGTTGCTGCCGCTCTCTCTCCCTCTCTGTCTTTCTCTTTCAACTTGCAAACTTGGAGGAGTCGGGCTGCAGGTGCGCGCGGCTCTCGACCGGCCTTTCAAGAGCCCTTCGAGTTGCGCAACCTTTTATCGCCTCCTCTTTTCTCTTCCGCCCTTTTCCATCCACCCTTTCTCGCTCGCGTTCTCTCTTGTTCCACCGCTTCTGTGTTCCGGAAAATAATCAAACTCGCGCGTATCGTATTCACGTGCAGCGTTCGGGCTTCCCTTTTAATAAAACTGTTGATCGCAATTCGACAGATGATACTAGGTTTGGCAGACAAAGGAGAGACAGAATAATGACAATGGTAGCAGCGCGCTGCGTGGAACGAATTGTATTATTGCAATTGGCAAACTTCTTCGGAGTGAGGCTCTCTTTGGATTCGCAGCTCAGCAAGTTGCGCGCACCAGCTCAAACTCGGATTCCCAAGTCAGCTCGGTGTGCGCCTAGTCTGATGGCTCTGTGCTGCGGAGCCTCTGGATTACATTCTGCGGTTGTGAGTTGTGCGCGAGCTGTCTCTCTCTCTCTCTCTCTCTCTCTCTCTCTCTTCCTGCACCGGGCTTTATATTGAAATCGAGATACGCTACAGATAGACGGAGAGCCGCTGCCGCCTACCTGCCTGCCTGCCTCCCTGCCTGCGAGCCACTTCGAAACCTCGAGGTATTTTCTAGTTAGAGGCTTCTTAATTGCCGGCAACTTGGCTCGGCTATACCAGCCAGCTGTTGCTCACCGTTTTATTATTATTTTATTGGACTGGCATTGCCGTTCCACACTGACCGCTCATAATTTTATATTACCATTCTATTTCCTTCCTCCCGTCCCTTACTTCTACCTCATTCCTTTCTTTCTAAAAATGAATATTGTTGTACCTATCGAAGTTCTACCAGTCCGCGATCGGTTTATTTCTACGTGGCAGCAATTTTATTTATTTATTTATTTATTTGAAAATCGAAATAGGTGAATGGACGGGCGGATTAAGGATTGCCCCACCAGCGAGGTTCGTTCAACTGGCAAACAAAAATGCTGAAATAGTTCGGCAACGCAAACATTGTGATTTATTGGCTAAGGCCGCCGAGAGGCAGGAGAGAGGAGGGAAAACGGAGCGGCCATTCTAATCAAGCTGTGTATAGACTCGGCGATACAAGTGCTCCATT